AGAGAGAGAGAGAGAGAGAGAGAGAGAGAGAGAGAGAGAGAGAGAGAGAGAGAGAGAGAATTGCTATTTTCCATTCCCGAGCGCATGCGAGAAGGGCACGCAGCACGGTAAGGAAGGAGCTCTGTACAGATGACAGCCTTCTCCTGCTTGGATTTTCCTGCTTTGAGCCTGTGGACACTGTGGGAGGCACAAATACTGTCACTTGCCAGTGTTCCCTTCCCTGGGCCAGCTGAAAACAACTAGTGGAAAGTTACCGATTTCTGTCTGTTTGGGGTACTCCTTCCTGATGTAGGACTCACAGATCCTGATGTGTCCAGTTCATCAGCAGAAGACCAGGATGACAAATCCTACAAAGAAAAAGAGTCTTTCAACAACTCATGGCCCAGAGCCACAGGGGCTCTATATGCTCAATGCATTTCCTACCCCAGCAGCATCTGCTCCTATATCCCCACCATAAAATATCAGACCATTCCTTGGGAAAAATGGAACCAGAAAACTACAAAAATAGGGCCTAATTCTTCTAATGTATTGGGATGTCCTGGTGGTAAGTTTGACTCTTCTGGAAAATATAGCCATAGTTTTATTATTGCAATTTTATTATTTCTTAGTGACATGAATGTGCATACATTGAAACTGGCTTGGGGAGTGAACAGGTCTGTCTCACAGCAGCAAGTCACTCAGGCCAGACAGCATCCAATTCATTTAAATTAGAAACAAATGATAGTCCTACAGTCTTCCCTTGTAGAATCAGAGATATTGGATTACTTCTGGCCTGTTGCAACTCAGAGTAGATTGCGTCTTTGCACGCTTACAGAAGGGCAAGAATTTGTGTGCTTATGATGGGATATTGCAATTGAATGTTTTAATCTCACCCAGCACTGCTGTACCTCCAAGTGCCTTTCTCAAAATAGTACATTTGAGAAGATATATAAAAAATAAACTAGCAGAAGATCATCATCTACAAATTAATTAATGTACACATGTGAGAATTTCTGCTTTACGGGTGTTGAATACAAAACTCATATGTAACAATTGGTTTCCTCCACCATGTCTAGAACTGAAAATGTGTAAATTCTTAAATAAACACTGTGAAATAAAATGCCACAGTAGTGGTGGTAACAGAGCTGGCAGTAACAGTTACAAGAGATCTTTCAGACTTAATAGAATCAAAGGCAGAGTCCTATTACAAAGTTTATGAGTTTGCTTTTGTATTTGGAGAGAGGACTTGGAAGAGCAGTAGCTGAGAGTGGACACTCCATTCTGACAAGGGCCACATTTGAGCCTTCTGTAACAGGTAAGAGATGCTGTGCTTCAGGCTCCTGTAAGAAAGTGATGTTGTGATGTCTGATGGGGGCTTACCTGCTGACTGCTTGACATGTCCAGTAACTTCTCCAGATCCTGGATGTGATGACTGACCTCCTTCAGGAGAAGTTTGAGCCGATTTCCAATAACATGGACTTTTTCTTTGGCTTCTAGGCAGTCTGTACCTTCAGCATTCACCAGGAGTTGACAAGACATGTCTTGCAGTGAGGCCACTTGGTGCTGGGACTCCAGCAGCTCATGCTTTATTTGCTAGGTGGGTGACAGGAAGTATTTTTATAGAAAGTGTTGATAGCTGTAGAAAGTTCCCAAAGTGGGTACTCACATCTGAGCATCAGAATGTGTAGCTCACACTCCAACCAAGGCTACAGATTATGGTGTGGGGCTTGCAGATTGTGTTCTAATTCTGCCTCTGCTAAAAATACTCTAAAAAGACCTCTGAACCGCTCCGATCGCAGCTTTCTGATTGGGTGCCTGGTCTACAATCAGCATTACTGGAAGGTTTAAATTGGGTAATGTACATGAAGGTATTCAAAATACAAAGCAATATGTAAATGAGATATACAATCATGTTTTGAACAGAAAAGTAAAACACTAACATCTAGATACAGAAAAACCCAAGCATGTCCAGGTATGTTCTGATATTTAGTAAAGACTTTTAAAGAAGATACAGGGTGATTCATCACAGTTTAATGTCAAAGGTCAAAGCTGAATAAAAACAAAATTGCCAGTTATGTGCTCTTGGTTTCTAGAAATGAACCAATGTGGATTGCAATACACAAGTGCATGGAAGCAATGCTAGGATTCTCTCTGTATAGCTATCTTTATCCCAAACTAACAAAAACACTATGTCTTTCTTATTATCTCTTATCTTTTCTCTTCAACAAAATTGGAGAAGAGGGTGGAACAGGGGTTGGAAGCAGGGGTGTAGGAGTGTGGGGGTAGGTGGCACAAAAAAATATATACACATGTAAGAAAATGTAAAAATGATAAAAGAAGAAAAAAAGCTACTAATTCAGTAGTTTAGGCTGATGAGTGTTAAATGTTGAGATACAATATTTTAATAGTACATAAAGCTACAAAATACAAAGCATTTTTTCTCCTAATGGAACTCAAATATACTTCCTTACCTCCTGTAAAAATCATTTTAATACATTGAATTGTATTGTCCCAAGATCCTTGTATAAGGACACATGCTAAGAATTGTTTGTTTGTTTTTTTTTTCTCAGATAGTCATAATGAGCTAACTCATTGTGTTTGCCTTTCTGGCTTATTCTCAGAAAATTTGGTGATAAGGTTCATGTTTCATTTGATCTATTTAATTCCTCTTAAAAAGACTTAAATGGCTCTTTCTATTTTAACAATTTTAATGTCCTTTTATAATAAGCCTCCATAGAAATAACATATAAGGCTCAAATTAAAAATAAGGACAATTTACCAAAAATTGCCTTCATAAACACAAGCTAATTGAGATTCAGGATGCTTAAGAGTCATACAACAAACAACAGCTAAAGTTGGAGATGTGACCTGCACACATTTGTTTCACAGAGACTAGAAACCTTAAGGAGTTAAATTAGAGGTTTAAGTGTGGAAGTTAAGAGTGTAAGTTGGAGGCTATAATGCAAAAGGTAAAAAATAAAAATAAAAAAAAAA